CAAGGAAAATCGTAACCCATCACCGCCAGGGCCACCAGCGTTTTTTCAGTAGAGGTACAGCGAACATGGCCTTTTATGAGCAACCCATTGCTCAGAAGAAACACACAGCGTACGCCTGAAACCGTTTCTGAAAACATCACGCCATCGTTAAGCGCCGTACGCCGATCCTCGTCAGCGCGGAACCTAAACGTCACGGCCTCGTCGACGCGGGGTCTGGCGGTGCTGGATGGCACTCTGGCGGTGCTGGATGGCACTCTGGGAGACCGTGACCACTTGGTCGTTTCCTTGAAGGCATACGCGAAGGCATCGGTGCGTTTCCCCGAAGGCATCGTTTCCCCTGACGCATGCACGCGAAATGTGACCTGTTTCGCCACACGCATAACATCGGCATGATCCGTGAGGTTACACACCCCGCAGCATTCTGAGTGGCCGTCACAGCCGAAGCAAGATCGACTCTACCGCCCAGCTTCGGTCGGTGACCTGACGCTCAGACCGGCGCGCGCGGCGCCGTGGGCTCTCGCCAATCGCAGCACGCCACGCAGGGCTGCGCCCCGGCGCGTGGCGTCCGTTAAGGTGACCCGGTCCGGCCCTGACCCGACTGGGCCGGACCGGCTGAGTAGCCGGCCCAGTATCCAAGCAGGAGAGCGCAGGGTCACCACAGTGCCCAGCCGCGCGATAAACCCTTTCAGGTATATTGCGGACTGCACTGGCGCCAATGATTTGCTGCGTCGGAGTATCTGACAAAATTGCGGGGGTGCAGCAGCCTTGTGGGAAGGGGGGGGGGGGGGAGGGCACCCGGTTGACAGCGGGCCAGCTGCCGGTGAAAACTTCCCTATCACACGAATAAATCACCGAATTTGGTCTACTTGATTTCGTGGGGCATTATTTTTATTTTCCCTTTTGACTTCATGTGGCTGAAAGAGAAACACGAAGCCATTGAAAGAACAGGAACAAATACGGAGCATGTTGGCCATGAGTGTCTGACCCACAGGTCAACTCAGTTCAAAAGTGGTTATTGTCGGCTGCCGATATGCTAAAAAGCGCATCTACTTGCTCGGGTCGCAACAAACTACACCAATTTACGCACCGTGCTCAGTACTACCTTCTAGGAACGTGAAGGTCACGATTGCCTTGACCCAACGTCCAACGAAGTCCAAAGTTGTCCAAAGGGAGACAGTGCTGGCTTTATACCACATCAGTGTGAAGCGTGAGTAGTTTTGAAATTTGTTGACAGGTGATCATACTGAGTCGATAGTGCTCTCTATGTGGCACCCATAGCACAGACGGGTGGTTTTTGAGCGGGGCAGCGTCTGCCCGTAAACTTGTCGGCGTCTTGGCGCTCATTTACGTGGGCGCGTCCGGGGCCAGCTGCCTGGGTCAAACGGCTTCCTGCTGGAGGTATGGGACCAATGTATGCTGCATGCCGCGAAGAGCCTTCGGATCGAGCTGAGGACTCCCCCCCCCCCCCCCCCCCCCCCCGTTTCACCAGAATGGACAGCCGGTAGCCCGTGGGCACCCCACGCAGTGTTGTGTACCGAGTATGTTTGACATGCTCCTGATATTCCTGATTAGCAGGCATGCACAGAGACATTTAGACGAAAACGAAGTTCGATTTTGTCATGATGTAGGGCCATACGGAGTAAAGATTCGGCAGTGACGCAAAAGTCTCGGCATATAGGCCATAACTTTACAAATGAGGTAGCTGTTCTGAATTACAAAGATAAGTGCACGTGCAATGTTCCTTTCCACATGAATGTTTGACATTTGAAGATACTGAAGCACGCGTCAGATGTGATGAAATAAGCTCACGTACGACTAATGGTATACTTTTAAGCAGAAATGAGATAGCCAGTTCGTAAATCATTCAATGCACTGTACAGCCATGCCCTTTTTAAGGCTTAAACGCTATCGTTGCTGGGCTTGTCGCCTGCCAACTTACGAATGCTTTAGTCTCGCAGACTATTTTAAGGTGACCCAGATATCCATGGCAGCAGAGAAGCGTCATGCAAATACCGCCAACTTATTGGTCATGTAGTGTTCAAGGTCAAGAGCAAACATGGTTACAGATTTATTCGTGCCTGGCGTACATCAGCAAGATTCGTTTCATCAGCGGTCACCGATTGGCCCTGGACTATTTTGATGCGTGGAGTACAAGTTTCGCAGACAAATCACTTTTTTGGCGAAATATTACAGGACATTTGGCAGTAATAAGAGTTATGAGGGTGGTATGACTGGTAATCGAATACTTAAAAATGACGCTATAACCAGGTGTGTGAATACTAATCAACATTATTAAGTCGCGGACGAATATGTAAAACTACCTGGGCTATATGTAATGTAAAATGCAATGTGTAAAATATGTAATATATGTAACATAAAATGTGTAAAATATGCAAAACTACCTGGTAAAACGCACACGCACGATATGAGGGTTTCACATACACGCACTGGCATTGATTATGCCAAGATAATGAAGGTTGCCATCGCTTTCAGCTGATTGTACGTTAACGTGACGAAAACAAAAGTGATATTGTTTTAGCTGCTTGTAGGATCATGCTATTGGTAAATGTAGGGCCACAGGGATGCAGTTTTTCAAAATGCGTGGGGTTGGGGGATGGAATGGGAAGGGGAGGGTGCAAGAAAAAAATTGCTGAACTGGCCTCTGAAATGCACTTAAAACAGTTTTCTCCCCAGATTTGACGCCATTTTTCGCAGCCGGCAACAGGGTTGTAGTTCCTCAGAATAAGTTTTTAGGGGTTGAACCCCCAAATCATGATGCATGTAAAATAATGGTTAAAACTGATAATCAAGATAGGAAACTGCATCCCTGCTTAGCAGGCACAATCCCCCCTCCCCCCTCCTCAACTGAGTAGGAATCTACACGCCTTTAGGCTAGTTATGTTAAGTATGCCTTTATCTGATGATTCTGTTAGGTTAGTCTTAACCTTCATTCAGTGTTTGCTGGTCAGCAAATGATACTCCAGTGCAAATCAACTCTCGAAACGAAAATGTTTGATGGTTATGTCGCATTGCATTTAAGTTGTCTGCTTGTCGTGGTTTATCGCATCTAGAGATACATTACGACGGTCTCTGAAGGATTTGACCTCAGGTGACAATTCAAACGGTTCTAAATTTAGTCGTTGACAGAAAAGGCACTTTTTCACCCCTGGGGGCACCGATGTTGTACGAACGTTCCAGGATGTGGTCAAATGATGACGTTTTGAGGAGCCTATCTAGTAAAAAGTAAAACTTTGTTGTCTAACACTCTTTTGCACTTAAAACATACCAAGTGACAAGTATGTTATCATATCTTCGGATGTGGAACATTCCTTTGAATAGCCAGAGCAATCATTGGTATCCAGTCAGTCCATGCACCTCCTGGTCATTCGTTCGACTAGTTATGAGTATCTAGAAATACGCCAAAACCTTGAGACCTGCAAACCATATCTTTCTTCATATGTGGGAGCATATCTTCACACAAGAATAACTGCTCCAGGAGAGCTCTGATATACCCCTGCCATTTCTTCGCGACGTGCTGTGAACTGAGTGCGAGACTGCCCAAACCTGTTGTTATGCAAGCGTCTGCTGGTTCGCTTTGATGATAATTCCGGCTTTGTCTTCCAGTCTGCACTGGGATGACCTCCAACACGACAAGTGGTATCCGTCGCTGGCCGTGACCTCACGGGCCTCTTACCGCCCCCCCCCCCCCCCCTCCGTCAGGGTCTCTTGACTCCACCCTGCGTCGACTGGCTGGCAGCTATGGGGTCTTCTGGTTCTGCCGATTCCGGCAGCACCACCGGTCACACAGGGTGCCCACTATACACTAGACACCACAGGTCGCACGGCGTACCGACCTCCAGGGCTGCATCAGGGGTCGCTCAGTTGCTGAACGCCATTTACAGACATGTCAGGCATGATGTGTGCACTTGAGAGCGGTCTCCTGTGTGGTCCCTGCGATAAGACATCGACATGAAACATAAGATCACTGATGCATTCTGCGGGGAGCGGATGCCTGCGTTTCCTGAACGCTTATTGGGGGGGGGGGGGGGAGATGAGCGAAGGATGTCGTGCACCGAGGAGCTGGTGTGTGAGCCTCTAAAACCACCTTTGTCGTTTCACAGTCGACTGAACTCTGTAGTCGCCTACGTACCGCAGCATAATCGCTGCCAACTTGTAATAAATGAGAGTCCCAGCTCGTGTCTGCGGTAACGAAATGTGTCCTCCGTGCGTGTCTAAATGGACAACTGTCTGACATCTGATGAAGACCGTGATGATAATGAGCAGCACTTTTCGAGCGTCTGTTGCCTGTCTGATGCTTACCGGCTTATGGCAATCCCGAAGACCAAGTTGTTTGAACGTATGTCTGTTAAGAAAAGCCTGATAAGAGTTTTGTTGATGAGTTATGTCTGAAGTTCTGGACATTTTTCCGGATGTTGTATGTCCGATGATGTTGCCAGTGATCAGAAGCATCTGGACGTCTATCTAATGATGCATGTCTCATGGCGGTATTGATGTTCAATGACGCATGAGCGACGAAGGCCTTTTGTCAGGTTACAGCGCTCGTAATGAATTGTCGATATTTGAACGTGTGTCTGATATTGTCCAGCGATTGTGCTGGTGACGAGCGGAGTCTATGTGTCTGGTGTCTAACGTCGCGTGATGGTGCGAATGATGTCTGAATGTGTCTGATGTCTTACCTGGTGATAGTGCTGATCATGATCGTTGGTTGAATGCTTGTCTGATATCTTGCGTCTGGTGATGGTGATAACGACGAACAATGTCCGCATGTTTAGGATGTTTCGAGTATGATAGCAATGGTAATGGCAGATATGATGGCGATGGTGCTGAGGGTGGGCAGTGTGTCAGTGTCTGCCTTACGTGCGATGATTGTGATGATGGTGGACGATATCGGAGTCCATGTTTATGTCCTGGAATGGCGTTGATGAGCAGGCTATACAATTCAGGCCGTGTCCCATCCAAATGTTACGGAAAAGCGTTCACGCGATTTTTAGGAGTTTATTTCCTGTTGTGCTCGTACATGGCAGACTCATACCACAGATGAATTGCACCCCCTGCGCACAACTGCGCCCATTCACAGCTTAGTACGCCCTATTCGCAAGGGTTCTAAAACTGCAAACCATTCGTGCAAGCGAGAGCGATCTGCCGCATCTTGCCATGACCGCAAGCTGCATGAAAATAATGACAAAGGTAATGTCCACGACTTGAACCATGACATAACGACTCCCCAAGTTAAATCATGATGTGCTGATACACACAGTTTTGAGCCGTGACGTAACGATGTCAAAAACGTGTACAAAGACACCGTTGACACATGACACAGTGAACGTTGCGGACCTTATTCACGTGATATCAACAACACGGGGGGGGGGGGGTGCCGTAAAGTGGCCCGGTACAAAACTGCATAACACACTTCAGACGCTATGTGTATGAAAATGACCATTAAATAATGTGCATTTTAGAGTACGCAACGTGCTCGATGAGGCGGTTGACCCATGACCCATGACCCATCCACAGCACGGCGCCAGACAGCTGGCCCCATTAGCTGATGGGTAGCTTGCGGTTGAACCTGTAAGCTGAGTTGACTATTAGCAGCGTTGCCGCTCCCGTGGGTGCAATCCTCGGCCTGCCGTGGCGCGTCCACACATCGGAGCAGAGTCAGGACAGTTTTCTCGGTCTGAATCTCACGTGCTGCAGCTCACGTCGCTGTGGCCCACTGTCCGGCGCTAACTGCAGCTCCCGGCGCTGGCGCTGAAACACGACCGGAGAGCTCAGAGCTCAGACGTGGACCGCTCAGCCGTGGACCGCTCAGACATGGACCGCTCAGACATGGACCGCTCAGACGTGGACCGCTCAGACATGGGCCGCTCAGCCATGGACCACTCAGACATACATCGCTCAGCCATGGACCGCTTAGACATGGACCCCTCAGACATGGACCACTCAGACATATATCGCTCAGCCATAGACCGCTCAGACATGGACCGCTCAGACATGGACCATCCAGACGAGGACCGTTTAGACATGTACCACTCAGCCATGGGCCGTATAGACATATATCGCTCAACCATAGACAGCTTAGACATATACCACTCAGACATGGACCGCTTAGACATGTACCGCTCAGCCCTGGACCGCTGAGACACAGACCGCGGTAGTACCCAGAGCCGAAGTCACGTTCTTCCATGCGCGGTTGGACCATGTCATCAGCTGGAGCAGGGATCTTCACCGCATGTCGATAGCACTCTATCGAGCACCCTGAGTTATCCGCGGGAGCTCGTGTTCGTTGTGAGCATTGGCCATGGCTGAGGTCGTGTTTTGGTGTTGGGCTGGTGGTCTGTTGACGGTGGGGTTGACCTGGCATGATGTGTGCGAAGGTAACTGATGCTTTGCTTGCCCAATTATCAAAGGTATGTTCACGAGCCCACATGATAACATATCTAGGCTCGCAAACGGAACTTGGTGTGGGTGATGGACGTCGCTAGCCAGCGGGTTGGGGAGAGTGCGGAGTGAGTTGTATCATGTCAAGTACCCAGGTATCAAGTAGCACGGCGTAACTAGACCAATCTGAACGCTATGCTGCGAGGTAGGGAAGTACACGTGCCGTATATACAGCAAATTATTTGTCTGCCGCTTGCCAACGATTTTGGGGTGGCGCGAACTTTCCTCCAAGCCGTCAGGTGGTGCACGTATCATCTGTACATGGGGCATGTTGTACTAGAGACACAATTTGCCCACGTTTTGTCAATCACTGGCTCGCTGTCCATGATTGACACGATTGCGATGACTTACTGCCGTCCAAAAAATAGGTTAACGTCTACATTACCCACGTGGACCTATGATTTCTGCCTGAGGCAACCGAAACCGGGGTGGCAGCAGTCGTACAACGAACGCTAGTGGATAAAAAGGGCAGCAATTTTGAATTCCGCAATCCCGACGAATTACGAAATGGCACAGACAAGCATGTTTGGTCTCCATATCGCAGTGCATTCATCTTGCTTGCGATGCAACTTACTATGTGGTAAAAAAACGAGCGCAATTTTTCAAACTATGAAAAAAATTACACCAGGGGGGGCAAATTGCCTCATTCAAAATGCCATTCAGAAGTCATCTGCCAGAAGAAAAAGATGTGCTTTCCAAAACTTATCGCTACACATAAAGTTGAAGGTAATAGCCGTCTGCAGATACGGCTATCTGCAGAATTTTAGTCCTATCCTCGCTATTTGTAGAAGAAGGGAACTCATAGTAAAAAAGCTGATACAACTTTTCCTACTCTCTCATAAGGTAGCTCGCTAGTGAAATTCACAACCTGCTTTCTGATGGGCTCCTTCGATCAAGATGGCACAGCCTTTGAAGGCCTAAAGCAGTTGGGCTCAACGAGCAACGTTTTTTTGTTATATTCGTTGGAAGCTATGCCTTACCGTCTAATTTGTTTTTGTTTGTTTCTTTGGTGGGGGCAGCCTGTTAATACCGTAACGGCCTCGAAGCTCTTGACTTTAAGACGGGCCCAATGAGTGGCAAACATCATTTGGTGCTGCGTGCATTGTGGCAGCGGGTCCAAACTTCATTTAACTTCACTTACATCTCTGGAACCACTCCAAATTTCCCCATTTCCTTGGACATATAACCCATAGAAAACCCCAAAAGCTCTTAAATGAGAAAACCATTTGAAGACAGTTAACTCTACCGTGCAGGAAAACAGGCCTAGTAAAGTTAATGTTGCACCCCTTTGCATCATGTTATGAGTTGGCGTCTGTACCTTAGTTAAATCTGGCAACATCCGATATCACAGGAGCCAAGATCTGTGCGAGCATGTTAGGTGTTAAGGGAATCTGCCGAGATCTTTGGTGCACCCAAGTGTTCTACCTTTTGCTTAAAAATAAAACTGAGGTCCTCAGTATCCATGAACTCCAGGTTCGGCGTCTGGTAATGTCACATCTTGAACTGCAGAAAGACACTGAGGAAACGGTTCTAGAGAAAAGCTCAAACGTTGTTTATGTAGGTTGGTGCATCACAAGCCTCAGTTGGCTTGCGAGAATATATTGCAAAAATGTACCGTCACGATCATCTCAATCCTGCTGGCCCACACCTGATTTTCTCTGGCAGAAGTCAGTACAATCAGACAGTTCCTCGTGATACATAAATATTTGTTTAAATATGTATTTAAAATATTATAAATGAATAAATCTCAGGCGATATTAATATTAATATATCAATATTAATATTATATATTTACATTCGATATTTATATTCTCAGGCGATATTAATATTAATATATTATTAATATATTATTCGTTAAATATATATTCGATATTAATAAACGAATAAAAAAGGCCCACTCTAAGCGGTGCCTTTTGTGCGAGCCCCAACCTCTACCATCCAGCCCCGAAATCCCAGGTGGGTGTGGTGGCGAAAGGTCATCGTGTCATTATGGTCGGAACACCTTGCGCTCTGACGTCACCTGACCTCAAGCGGCCGCTGCACCGGTCGCAGGTCACATCTGTCCAGGGCAGAGAGCGCGCCACCGTAATCACCAACTGAGCTAGCGGGTCCAACGTACGGACAGAAGGTGCTCCGCAGTGATGAGCTAGCGGGTCCAACGTACGGACAGAAGGTGCTCTGCAGTGGTGAGCTAGCGGGTCCAACGTACGGACAGAAGGTGCTCTGCAGTGATGAGCTAGCGGGTCCAACGTACGGACAGAAGGTGCTCTGCAGTGATGAGCAAGCGGGTCCAACATACGGACAGAAGGTGCTCTGCAGTGGTGAGCCAGCGGGTCCAACGTACGGACAGAAGGTGCTCTGCAGTGGTGAGCCTAGCGGGTCCAACGTACGGACAGAAGGTGCTCTGCAGTGGTGAGCTAGCGGGTCCAACGTACGGACAGAAGGTGCTCTGCAGTGGTGAGCTAGCGGGTCCAACGTACGGACAGAAGGTGCTCTGCAGTGGTGAGCTAGCGGGCCCAACGTACGGACAGAAGGTGCTCTGCAGCTGGTGAGCTAGCGGGTCCAACGTACGGACAGAAGGTGCTCTGCAGTGGTGAGCTAGCGGGTCCAACGTACGGACAGAAGGTGCTCTGCAGTGATGAGCTAGCGGGTCCAACGTACGGACAGAAGGTGCTCTGCAGTGATGAGCAAGCGGGTCCAACGTACGGACAAAAGGTGCTCTGCAGTGATGAGCTAGCGGGTCCAACGTACGGACAGAAGGTGCTCTGCAGTGGTGAGCTAGCGGGTCCAACGTACGGACAGAAGGTGCTCTGCAGTGGTGAGCTAGCGGGTCCAACGTACGGACAGAAGGTGCTCTGCGGTGATGTGCGATTTGAAATGTACCCAGTCCCAGTCTCATGGCTTTCAGACAGGGCGAAGGGTAGTTTGCATGGGCTTATGGTGATGGGTAAGGCTATTCACATTATTTGTTGCGTGCTATGGGTTCCATGGATTTGGTAAAATATTCATGTTCAGGCATTGAAAGGATCAGCGTGTGCGTTTTATAACCTATTTTGTGTTGTAAAGTCTTCTTCTATTTCCCATCCCCAATGCCCGCGGCCTTACGCGAATGGCTGGTCGTGGTTGCTGTAAACTTGTTTAAAGCTTGCATGCACAAAGCCGAAGCCGAGCATCTCACAAAACACGCCTCCGCTGCGGACCACGGCCGGAAGACGTGTCTGCAGCAATGAAAGTTAACAATCGCCGGCAATGTGAGCTGCATCTAACAAAACACACCTCTGGCCTTGAATGTGGCTGCATGACTTTGCAGAAACGAGGATGTGCAATTCTCGGCGTTAATGGGGCGATCATCTGAAACTGCTATCATGCATGCCCACCGGAGCATGCATCGCGTGCGAACAGGCCGGCGCGGGGCCACAACGCTGGCACTACGATCGTGACTGCAGTATTGGCCGAGGTAAGAACACGCGACTTGGACCATCTGTTCAGGTGAATTGCCAAAATGCTATATTCAGCGACCCTGAGAGCGGTGCCTGCCACGCCCGCCATTCCCACTTCCTGACCCACGGATTTGGAGTGAGGTACGCCCATGGTTCATCTACCAAATATTTTGTGGCGCGGTGGTCTTCCGTCAAAGCTATGCAGATTGTTGAATTTTACGCTCTGCTAATTTAGCTTTTGGTCACTACATCATGAGATCCTCAGATGACGGCTCTCGACGAGCTCATGTAACACAGATGTGGTCGGTGACAATGCGGCTTGGGAAGTGGAAAGTGTTGCCTCCTGCCCGACAGACACACTGCCTGGTTCCCGGGAGGTCGGCAATAATCCCATTTGCAACGGCATGGCACCTCAGATGAGCAGGTTATCCCCTTTCGACCAACAGTTGCCCCAGGAGTCGATTTTTGGGTGATACCCCGCTCGCAATGTCCATGATTTTCTCACGGGTATTGCGTTGAAAATATAACTGAGAATCCTGATGAATATACTTTTTGGTTTGGATTCAGCTGAACACACCCGTCTTAATTTTTGTATCCAGTTAGCTTCAGCGCGGAATAAACACATGGACGAGCCCCGACCTGAGCCATCCAATGTTACTTTTGAGGTTCTTTACACAACCACGAACCAGACCTGTGGGTGGAAAGGTTACATTTAACAACCTGTGTTGTTCTGCACAGTCAAGATGAGTGAGTCGAATAACCAAGCAAGAGTCCGGGTGGGCAGATTGAGGTTTCCCACGCATGCAGCGTTGTGCTTCTAAGTGGAGTAAATCTAGCATTATCATGGCATGTGTTTTCCCACATACGCAA